AGTGATCTACAGGGTCCCACCAAATTATTCGAAGTCCCTGGGTCAGCGCCTGCTAGCAACAACAAAAGCGACCGCTATCAGGCTGATGAAGCCCGCGTTGTCTGCACAAAAAAACTTCCTACTGGCCCCACAGATGGCGTGGCCCACAGTCACTTAGCCGTCATCCACGCACACGTATACTCGCCAAACTAGACTTTCAAAATTACCATTTTTAGACTCCAAAGTGCAAATGAAGACTACTTCACAAGCTCTGGTTACGGATAGTAGCCTAAAATGAACAATTCAAGGCAAAGATAGCTCATCCAACGCAGCGCGAAAACGTTTGCGACGTCGGAATGGCGGTTAAAATTACGGAAACTTCGACACAATCGGCGAAGAGGCTCAATCAGAGGTTTAGAGTGGGTTAAGTAAAAAGCAAAGATCCAACAAATTAATCGCTGGCTCACTTTTGTGTTCAGGAGCATGATGCACTGATCGAAGTGATGATGCTCGAGGACGGAGGTAGAGTAGAGATTCACCAGCGGTGACATTGTTTTGATCTGAAACTGGTTGTTTGTACCACGATGATCCAAATCATGCGAAAGACAGGCAATTATGATTGCAAGACACTCCAGGTCGCCAAAAAGTGACTGTAGTCCTCCGGTCTATAACGTGGAGAATGCGAATAGCAAAAAAATGGAAATTCAACGGACGAACAGAAGGGCCTAGTTGTAGCCATAAAATTATGAAATACTAATCTTCATTCTGACACTACCTGGTTGGCCTCCTCAGGAAAATATCAACATTAAGCATTCTAGGGCCAACGCAAAGAAATATTAGCTTATCGCTAAATTCCACGAAGGTGAAAGGTCAAAGGCAGTTCAAGTAGTGCTCCTCATATACCTGTGGTCCCAGCATTTTTTCCTACGGAAACGGTCGTTATAGGGGAATTGAGTTTGGGAAAAAGGATATTAAGTGAATGAAATTTGTAGAAGTAAGCGGAAAATGGAAAAATGTAGTTGACTTTTTTTTCCACGGTCGCTGGGAATAAATTGTTCCGCATGTAAATTGAAGGTAAGTGCGCCGCTTCGCGCCGCGTACTATACTAATCTAACTCCAGAACGGTAAGTTGGACCGCCGGTAAGTTGAAGTACACGACCTCCTAACCACCATTTCTATTTTTCAGGAATTTTAAGAGACCTGTATTTTGATAATCAGGTTTTATCCGCGATACGTTAAACGACAATACAGCTTAGGAATATCTACAGATATAAATCTACGACCTTTCTTAATGCAATAAAATGAAAATGCATATGGCAGTTATTAAAGTATATTCCAATGCCTATCCTTATTCTCAACCCATAAAACCTCTATAATCACCGCTTCCGTAGGGCGAAAATCTGGACTATGAGTGCATGAGGTGTACTACTGGAACTAGTGTTGTCGGTTATACTAATGGTAAAGGTTCGCGTTTAATTAGGTCTAGGATTCAAGTTAGCATTAGCATTGGGGGAAAGTCTGAATAAGAGTTAGGACATGGGAAATGATATCCCTTCTTTTGACGTTTCCTAACTTCGTAGCTTTTTTCATGCGCAATTGCGAATCAGGTCGCATGAACCGCGCTCAGACGCTATGTTTAACTTTCGGAATCTACATTTGACGAAAGATGATTTGTAGGGCCCACTAGATATCTATTCCCCCCGCCCAACTGCTTAAAGTATTTTGCGGTTGAACATTTAATTCTTGGCTAGTGAGTGTAACTTCATATGTAATTGTAGCGGAATTGATCAAAAAATATTAAATTAAATAACATTATGTTTGTTTTAAAATGCTAAATAGAATTAAATTCAATCAACATAAACATCTATTGCGTAGAATACGAAAATTAATCGAGGGAAATTTGATCTTATGTAGGCGGAATTTAACTTTAATATAAATTCGTCCTCCTATTGGTGGAATTTAACGAAAAAATTTAAATTCAGGCTACCGAACATTTGACGGTAGTTTTTTTATTGATAAGTTGGCCTCTATAATCATTATTACCCTACGTTTTTACGGGTATCACTGGAATTTCGTAAAACAGTAAGGCGCTGGCTGACACGATCAGATGTCTTGACACGATCATCTAGGCATCTGCTGACTAACCTTGAACATTGAAAACATGGTTTGTGCCACATTGAACGCATGACGCCAGTTGTGGTAGATGACATCCCGGTAGTTCTTCTTTACAGACAGCAGCCAGCGGCAGAGAGAGATGTAGTCAATATGAAACCGGTTGACGAGGTCCAAGTCGGTAAACATTCGAAGACACGCTTTGACTGTGTCGTCAACCGATAGGCTGAGGGGGTAGGTAGAGACGAGAAAAAGGAGATACGGAGGCGTAAAAAATGTTCCACGTTTGGAGAGAAGGCGATAAAATAAAGTGCAAGTGGATATCCCCGGTTAATATGCACATATGATCAGGACAACTGCTGCTCCCCATGAATATCAGATGGTGGAAGTCTGTAGTCACAACGTACCTAGATTCCTATACAGAGGAGCATTCAGAAAAAGAACATGGGATTACCGGAAAATTAATGTTATTTTCCTCACGTTTCGGATTCTGTAGAAAATCCCTAATCATAAGTAACCGCAGAATAGTGGAAGACATGCGCAAATTGGGGTGATACATGCACGGATTGCACGGTATTTACAGTTCGTAGCAGTCATCCGCATGGAGTCTTAATTGAGGCGGTAATGGCTTAGCACTTTGCTTTCGGCTCATTATTTGCCGCGGTCTCGTTGTCCATGTCGGATGAGGGCTTGATAATTATGCGACAATTATGTTCGCTATCGTCGGAGTTGTTGCTTGCTCCGGCTCTTCCCACGTGACTGACACTCCTGCTCAGAAAATGTGTTAAGACGGAGTATTGGAATGGTAGGTTGCTGCGCTTGATGATTGACTGTGGGCCTTAAAAACAGGGTTCGAGCAGCCCGTGACTCACGCGGTTGTCACCTTTTGCGAAGATTTCGGCCTCGGTACACTTAGAACTATGACCGCAAGTTTAACGAGGCCGAAGTCGTCGCAAGAGGTGACAACCGT